TGATGTTGAAGAAAAATTGCGTGAAAAAGATCAGAGATTGTATGTAATTGTTTATTTATTTATTTTTTTTTTCTTAATTTAGTCTATGGATTATAATGTTTGGTTCGCAATTTACGAACGTTTGTTTTGTTCAGAGCAAAATGTATGGGGTTTGTGTCGTCCGAGTTGTATCTGATTTCATTTTATCTCGATTTACAGAGTAGTCACATAATAGTCATATTCACTGTTCTGTTAATAATTATGACTATTGTTGATTCACTCGATTAGTGATTTATGAATTTCTTGTTTGTTCCCCACTCTCTCTTTCATTCACCGTCGTTGTCGTCGCCTCCCCCTCATTCTCTTTCGTTACTTTCGATTTTTTTTTTCTCCAGATCTGGAGCAGAAGCATTAACGTGACTATAGTCTGGTTCGAATATGACTATCGATGATTCACTCGATTAGTGATTTATTAATTTCTCGTGTTCGTTGTTTCTGTCGATTTCTCTCTCTTTACACCACCATCGTCTCCACATAGATTTGTACACCACCACCACCACCGTCGCCGCTCGTTGCCGTCGCCTCCTCCTTCGTTTCCACGTAAGGCTCTTTCTCTCTTTTTTCGTTATCTTTATCGCTTTCTCAGTTTTTTTTTTCCAGATGCCACCACCACCACCATCGCCGCCTCTTTCACTCTCTTTCCTTCACCACCGCCACCACCGCCGTTGTCGTCGACTCCCATCCCTCTCTCTCTCGTTATTTTTCTATCTTTATTTTTGTATTTTTCGAATTTTTTTTCAGATATGAACAACAGCAGTAACATGACTATAGTCATATTCGAATATGACTATAGTCATATTTATGTATTTTTCGAATATGACTGTAGTCATATTCGAATATGACTATTGTTGAATATAATCTATCATCTTGTTTTCAAGTTGACTTCTAGTAAGTAGATTCAAATTGATTTTTTGTGTGGATATTGATTGGATTGTTTTCGTAAACAATAGGGAATCTTCGTTGTTTTATATGATTTGGTAAACATGACTATGCCATATAATCGGAATTTGTAAGTTCAAAATATAAAAAAAACAATATAAAAAGAGAATATGACTACAGTTAATATAGTCACATATAGTCATATTCAACCATAGTCATATTCGGCGTTGCAAACCTGTGCGAGAGAAAAAAAATCAATTTAGTGTTTAAAAAAAATTATTTTTATAAAGAAATATTAAAAATAAAAAATGACTAAATAAAGTCCGAAAACAATATAAAATATAAAATAAAAAAATAAAGTCCGATTTTTTTTTTTTTTTTTTTTTTTTTATGATTTGGTAGCAATTTTTTAGGAATTTGGAAGCAAATTTTTAGGAATTAAATTGTTATTATAGAAAGAGAGAAAAAATGAATAATTGAGATAAATTATACTAATTAATCCTAATTAGCGGAATTTAGGTGCCTAATTAATAGGAATTTTGTAAATAATGCGGATTTAGTTGCCTTATTAATAGGAATGTTGTAAATAGTAGATATTTATTAAAAAAAAACGTGCGGATTTAGTTGCCTTATTAATAGGAATTTTGTTAATACTAGATAATTATTAAAAAAAATGGGTAGTATAAGGGTAAAATTGGAAATAAATATTCTAGGGGGTTTTCACAAAGGAAGAATTATGGTATGGACATATTACTATTTTTTATCTATTGGAGGGGTGTATTGCTAATGACCTTTTTTTAAAAAGTTAGAAACATGTTTAAATAGCAAACTTTAAATATTTTTGTTGTTTCTCTAATTATTTGTATGATTTAATGATCAATTGCAAATTAATAGTAGATAGTAAAATTTATTTTCAATATGTTTGTATAAAATATATATAAAGAATTTATATATAAATAAAAACTTATATATGTTTATATAGATTATTTATAAATACACCACTATACTTTTAATATGGATTTTTGCAAAAACCACCCCTGTGTAATCTTGAATAGCTGAAAAACCCCTCGTGTTAAAAATATTAGCAAAAAACCCCCTGTAAAAAATAGTCAAAGCCAAAAAAGACCCCATGGGCTTTGATGTGTTATACACTCGCGCTTTGTGCGACTGGCCGTCTGATTTTGGAACTAGAAAGACCTACTAAATACCCTTAAAATCATTTTTTTTTGAAATTTATAAATTTCATAATGAAGTTTTCAGAATTTTCAATTCAATGCCTAATTATTTCAAAAAAACCCTCTCTCCAAATTGCATAGGACCAAATTGCAATTTTTATAATTTCTCAAAACCTCGTCTTCTTTCTCCGTCTCCTTCTTCAGATCTGTTCCTCGCCACGTAAAAATAAAAGAAGGAAACAATATCAAGCAGTTCATCTTCATAAACAACCCGTTTGCAAAAGAAGAAAAACCAACAAAAGTTGCACTTCACGATGGAACCTTGTGTGTATGAGAGAGAGAGAGAGAGAGAGAGAGAAGGCCCAATCCGCCATGGATGATTCATCCGGCCCGGATGATGCCGCCTCCAAACCCACTGCCGCCGACGAAGAGATGAGAAGAATAGGGTGGCGATCCAAAAATCTTGATTCAAAAGAAATCTGGAAGAACCCATCAAACATAAAGCATAAGTTTTTTTTTGGGTGGGAAGGCAGGTGGTGCGGCCATGGTGGTGGTGAGGTGGTGGTGATGCTGATGGAAGAATTTTGGGTTGGGGAGGAGATGATGGCCGTGGGTTGGGGAGGAGATGATGGCCGTGGGTTTCTTCTTTTTCTTTCTTTTTTCTTTTTGGATTTTTTCTAATTATATTCATTTTGCATTTTTATTTATTTATAATGGAAACATAAATTATTATAATATGAGGGTTAATTTAGTCATTTCCTATAAGTCAAGTACTAATTTCGAAATAAGGGGCAGTGTGCTTTGTTAAAAATAATATAGGGTGTCTATTCTAATATTTTTAACATGAGGAGTTTTTTAGTCATTCCAGATTACACAGGGGTTCTATGCAATTAGCTCCTTTTAATATTTACAAATTTTCCCTAAGTTCTCATATCCTCATTTTCATTTTTTCAGAAAATGCTATTTCCGCAAATCCGTCTTACCATATCGCCATTTCGGTGTCTGAATTAAGAATTTTACATTGATAAATCATAAAGAATAGTTTATTTTACTTCATCATTAATAAATGTTTTTAAATTATAAACAAATGAATAATTATCCTAAAAATCCGGGAGCGATTTGTTTAATAAACTTCTAATCCAAACAACACCCCGGCGTATTTCTCATGCTTGCGCTCCACAAAATACACCTCGGTCATCTTCTGAAACGCATGCCACGTAAGCAAGCTATCCGACCCGGCCTGGTGGCATTTCCCGACGACCCGGTTCACGTTCAAACTCCGGGCGACCCGGTCCAACCCGCCGTACAAGCTGTCGCAGAACCGGATCATATGCTTCACGTCGTAGACGTTGTTCCCGAAGAGCACCCTGAGAACCCCGTGAAACTCCACCAGAGTTCGGGGCAGCGAGCGGCGCGTGAGGATCTTCACCAGGTACCCGAAGTCGTACGCGCTGTGGAACGTCACCCAGCTGACGGCGTCGTTGCACACCAGCCCGGAGCACATCATCCGCTCCGCGAACCGCGCCGACGCGATCCCGGCGGCGCGGTGCCTCTCGAAGTCGATCCCGTGCGCCCGCAGCAGATCGATCGAGTCCGGCGCGTGAGGATCACGCGCCACGTCGAAGTCGGAGAAGTTGAACTGCCAGATGCAGCTCTCGCCGGATCCGAGATCGGCGAGGTTTCCGGCGGCGTCGGATAGCGTGAGTCCTAGCTGGATGAGGTTCAGAGCATCCACGTTGCGCTTCATCATCCGGTAGTTATCGGAAGGCGAGGGTCTCCGCGGCGGCGGAACTGGTCCACGCCGGCGAGGGTTTGAGTTCATCGGCGCCGGCGCCGGCTTAAAAATAACTCCGGGAAACTCCGTATCCATCGAGACAAACGGGTAACGATCGACGAGATCGGAGATGAGCTCGAATTCGGAGTCTAGATTGTGGGACCACACTTCTCGGATTTTTACAGGTTTTGTAATAAAATCATCACTGTTAATAGAAGGCATGTTTGGAAAATAGATATATATTAATTAAAAAAATAAAAAGAAAAAGAAAATAGAAAACTGGATAATTGAGTACTGAATTAGTGAGGAAGAGAGATGCAGTTTTTATATGTGATCAAAATTCAGAACAAAGAAGAAGGCTGG